TGACGGAAGCTCTTAACAATATTGAGAAGAATATTCCCCCTGGTCGCGGTATCACTGTTAACCTGATCTACGTGAACCCGCAGGCTATGGGCTGGCAAATCCCTCTGATTAGCAAATTGCGCGCTAACGGCGTCCCTATTGAAGGTCTGTCCATTGGTGCGGGTGTCCCATCCATCGAAGTAGCCAACGAGTACATCCAAACTCTCGGCATCAAGCATATTGGTTTCAAGCCTGGTTCAATGGATGCTATCCAGCAGGTGGTCAACATCGCCAGAGCGAACCCTACTTTCCCTGTTATCATGCAGTGGACCGGAGGGCGTGGCGGTGGTCATCATTCCTTTGAGGATTTCCATCAGCCAATCCTGCAGATGTACAGTCGCCTTCGGAGATGCGATAATATCGTTCTGGTTGCTGGTAGCGGGTTTGGCGGGTCTCAAGATACTTATCCCTACCTGACCGGATCCTGGTCGAGACAATTCGGATACCCTCCCATGCCCTTCGATGGATGCCTCTTTGGTAGTCGCATGATGACCGCTAAGGAAGCACACACCTCCAAAGCCGCTAAACAGGCCATTGTTGATGCTGAGGGCGTCGATGATAGCCGCTGGGAAGATACATATAACAAGCCTACCGGCGGTGTCATCACGGTTCGTTCCGAGATGGGCGAACCTATCCACAAGCTAGCCACGCGAGGTGTCCGTTTCTGGCACGAGATGGACCAGAAGATATTCTCCCTGGACAAAGCTAAGCGTCTGCCAGAGCTGAAGAAGCAGCGCGATTATATCATTAAGCGGTTGAATGCTGATTTCCAAAAGGTGTGGTTTGGACGTAACTCGCAGGGCGACACTGTGGATTTGGAAGATATGACATATGCCGAGGTCGTGCATCGCATGGTGGACCTAATGTATGTTAAGCATGAGTCGCGATGGATCGATGACTCTCTGAAACGACTCGCGGGCGATTTTATCCGACGGGTCGAGGAGCGGTTTACTTCAATAGGGGGACAGCCATCGTTGCTACAAACTTACTCGCAGCTCGACACTCCATATCCAGCTGTCGACAACATCCTAAACGCATACCCTGAGGCAGCGTCACAGCTAATTTCTGCACAGGATGTTCAGCACTTCCTCCTCCTCTGCCAGCGCCGCATCCAGAAGCCAGTGCCATTCGTCCCCTCCCTCGACGATAACTTCGAGTTCTGGTTTAAGAAGGACTCCCTCTGGCAATCCGAGGACCTCGAAGCCGTAGTGGGTCGGGACGTGGGCCGCGTATGTATCCTCCAAGGTCCTGTGGCTGCCAAATACTCCACCAAAATCGACGAGCCCGTCAAAGATATTCTCGATGGCATCCACAATGACCATATCAAGGGCCTCATCCAGGACGTCTACGGTGGCGATGAATCCAATGTCCCCGTCGTCGAGTACTTTGGCGGTCAGCTGCTGCTAGAAACCGATGAGGAGCGCGACATCGACGGCCTAACCGTCTCCGAAGACGCAAACAAAATCTCTTATCGTCTCTCTCCTTCAACCTCTGGCAGCCTCCCCGATCTCGACCACTGGTTACATCTGCTCGCGGGCAAGACATTCTCTTGGCGCTATGCTATGTTCACCGCTGAGGTGTTCATTCAGGGCCAGAAGTTCCAGACGAACCCGATGAAGCGTATCCTCGCACCAACTCCAGGCATGTTTGTTGAAATCCAGTATCCCAACGATTCGCGCAAGACCGTCATCAGCGTCCGCGAGCCATCCACCGCCGGCAAACTTGTCAAGACGGTCGAAGTGCGGACGAACGGTGAGCGGGAAATTTCCTTGACCTTGTTTGAAGGGCGGACTGCAGAGGCCGGAGTTGTTCCTCTCTCCTTCCGTTTCACATATCATCCAGAAACAGGGTACGCGCCCATTCGCGAAGTTATGGATGATCGAAATGACCGGATCAAGGAGTTTTATTACCGTGTTTGGTTTGGCGAACGGAATGTTCCCTTCGATACGCCTGCTACTGCAATCTTCGATGGCGGCAAGGCCACTGTTACCAGCCAGGCGATTGCGGATTTCGTGCACGCTGTGGGCAATACCGGCGAGGCGTTTGTAGATCGACCCGGGAAGGAGGTCTTTGCGCCGATGGATTTCGCCATCGTTGTTGGCTGGAAGGCTATCACTAAACCCATTTTCCCTCGCGTCATTGATGGTGATCTGTTGAAGTTGGTGCATCTGTCCAACGGCTTCAGGATGATTCCTGGCGCCGAGCCATTGAAAGTTGGCGATACTCTCGAGACCACTGCCCAAGTTAATGCGGTGATTAATCAAGACTCCGGGAAGATGGTTGAAGTTTGCGGAACGATTAGGAGGGAGGGCAAGCCGATTATGGAGGTAACTAGTCAGTTCCTGTATCGTGGGTCGTATAACGATTATGAGACTACGTTCCAGCGCAAGGAGGAGGTGCCCATGCAGCTCCATCTGGAGTCGACGAAGGACGTCGCTGTGCTGCAATCGAAGGAATGGTTCCGTCTCGATGAGCCTGATGTGGACCTTCTCGGCCAGACCCTCACATTCCGTCTGCAAAGTCTTGTCCGCTTCAAGAACCAAACTATCTTCAGCAGTGTGCAGACAATGGGGCAAGTGCTCCTCGAACTACCCACTAAGGAAGTTATCCAGGTTGCTTCGGTAGAGTACGAAGCCGGCACCTCCCACGGGAACCCAGTTATCGACTATCTCCAACGCCATGGCTCAGCCATCGAGCAACCCGTCCACTTTGAAAACCCGATCCCTCTCAGCGGAAAGACGCCACTTACCCTGCGCGCACCCTCGTCCAATGAAACTTACGCGCGCGTGTCGGGTGATTACAATCCCATTCACGTCTCCCGCGTCTTCTCCAGCTACGCCAACTTACCCGGCACAATCACGCATGGCATGTATACCAGTGCGGCCGTGCGGAGCCTCGTCGAGACATGGGCAGCAGAGAACAACATTGGGCGCGTGCGCAGCTTCCACGCCTCGCTAGTTGGCATGGTGCTGCCAAACGATGACCTCGTTGTCGTCCTCCAGCACGTTGGCATGGTGGCTGGCCGGAAAATCATTAAGGTCGAAGCAAGCAACCAGGCGACGGAAGAAAAGGTTCTGCTCGGTGAAGCCGAAGTCGAACAGCCGGTATCCGCATATGTGTTTACTGGCCAGGGTTCTCAAGAACAAGGAATGGGCATGGACCTGTATAATTCCAGCCCTGTGGCCAAGGAAGTTTGGGACCGCGCCGATAAGCACTTCATCGAGAACTACGGCCTGTCGATCATCAACATTGTCAAGAATAACCCACAGGAGCTCACGATTCACTTCGGTGGACCCCGCGGCAAAATCATCCGTCAAAATTACATGTCCATGACCTTCGAGACGGTCAACGCTGACGGCAGCATTAAATCCGAGAAGATCTTCAAGGATGTGGATGAGAATAGCACCTCGTACACCTACAGGTCACCTACGGGCCTTCTCTCCGCAACGCAATTCACCCAGCCAGCTCTGACGTTGATGGAAAAGGCCAGCTTCGAGGACATGCGGTCGAAGGGCCTAGTGCAGCGCGACAGCAGTTTCGCCGGACACTCCTTGGGCGAGTACTCGGCGCTTGCGGCACTCGCTGACGTGATGCCGATCGAATCTCTTGTGTCTGTTGTGTTCTACCGTGGTCTGACAATGCAAGTCGCCGTCGAGCGAGATGAAACGGGTCGGTCCAATTACTCTATGTGTGCGGTGAATCCGAGCCGAATCTCGAAGACGTTCAACGAGCAGGCGCTGCAGTATGTTGTGGAGAATATTGCGGAGCAGACGGGCTGGTTGTTAGAGATTGTCAATTATAATATTGCGAATATGCAGTATGTTTGTGCCGGAGATGTAAGTTTTTACCCATTCATTCCACCATAGCTTTTTGCATCCCTTCTAACAATATTTCAGCTCCGTGCCCTCGACACCCTCACCAACGTCCTGAACGTCCTCAAAGCCCAAAAGATAGACATCACAACCCTAATGTCCACAATGTCCATCGATGATCTACGCTCCCACCTCGTCGAAATCATCACCTCCTGCTCCCAACTTACCAACTCCAAACCCCAACCCATCGTGCTCGAGCGCGGCTTCGCCACCATCCCGCTCAAGGGCATCGACGTCCCCTTCCACAGCACCTTCCTGCGCTCTGGCGTGAAACCATTCCGATCCTTCCTGCTCAAGAAGATTAACAAGACAACCATTGACCCGAGCAAGTTGATTGGGAAGTATATTCCGAACGTCACTGCGAAGCCGTTTGAGTTGACCAAGGAGTACTTTGAGGATGTGTATAAGTTGACGAATTCGCCGAGGATTGGGGCTGTGCTTGCGAATTGGTCGAAGTATGAAGATGGGGAGAAATAAGTGGTTTCGGGAGAGAAACAATGCATATGGACAGGGAAATTGGCACGGAAGACGTGGAAAATACGTTGGCGTTTATTTAATTTTTTTTTCCCTTTTCTCATGTTTTTTTTTTTTTGTGTTTATGAATGTTTCAGTTGCAATGGTTGTTTATTTGGTTCTTATTCCCAATACTTAATACTCTTCCTAATGGTTTTTTATGTTATGATTATTTTTGAGTTTGATTGTTTTCATTTTACACAGTGCCCTCTTCTCTGTTTGTGATTACCGTTTTGCTAGCTGTGGATTAGATAGATGGAATAGATTTACTGCGTAGATAGGTACGGAGTAGTTGGAAACCCAGTCAACCTTCTTTTGTCATACAATTCATATCTAACTAATCCGATTTTAAAATGGACCGGAAGATAGCTCAGTTTCTCAACGAAACGTGAATGGCAGGAAGGGAAACCGCCCATACACATAACCATAACTCTGATAAAATTTAAGATATAATTGTCCGAAATCGCCAATCTCCAGCCATCTGTCCTGGAATTCAAAGTAAAACCCATAATGACAAAATCATGATATGAAAGGGGCATATATGACAAGCTCTAAATAAAGGCCAGGCCACCCCCCTTATCTTTTCTCTGGAGCATTTCCCTTCCCGTTGCCTTGTATTAATCTCCTGCTTTCTATTTGTATATCTCCATCCCTTTAAGGGCTTACGATCACGATCCGTCAAAATCAAACAATGTCAAAAAAACCCAGACGC